CCTTTTGCCCCTTAGGGTTGGGGCCGTGGGCCGGGCCTTGCCCTTCTCCTTGGGGCTCCTCGGGCCAGGAAAGGAGCCCTGCCTAACCACACGACGACGGGGAGGCAGAGCAGGTCGAGGTTTGTCGCCCTTAGTATAGCATTCTGCAGCCCCATTACCTACATGGCTGCATAGGGAGCAGAACATTGGGACTCTCTCATAGACCACTTTCTGAATAGTGGTCTTGCCCGCTTGGTCGAGCTCGATCTCCTTGATGAGCTCGTCCCTAAGATCAACCTCAACACACACGTGCGACAGATAACCTCGAGCGGTTAGCCGTAGCGGCATCAGTCTCAATGGGGTTGCCAATGCAACTGGCAATCGAAAATAGGGCAGAAGGGTCGAAAAGGTGTGGTAAAAGACCTGGAAAGCAACACCACACCGGGACTATGGGAGATTCCTCAACAAAGGAGAAGTCCGGGGTGTATTTAAACACCCGGCCAGCACATCCAAAGATATTGAGATGCGTCTTGATCCAAACTGAGTTGTAGTCCTCTTTCAACTCAAAAATGAGTAAATAGTGATTATAATTGAGGAACTTAGGTGTCACACTACCCTTGAAACCAAATTTGACCAAACCGACAGATAAATCCCAGAGGGAAGGGACAGTGAAGGAAAACTTCAGAATGAGAGCATTATCATACGACTCAGCTAGGGATATAACAGTGGGCTCAGGAAAACTTACCTTGAACCTGCCCTCCTCAGAGCGGATGACGGTCCCGCTTTGTTTGTCCCGAAAGGACTCCAGCATGAGTCTCTGATGCCCTGGATTGGCAGTGGAAGCGCCAGATACCGCATCTCGAAAAGAACGTGATTCCGAAAGTCGGGAGCTTTGGTCCGCCGAGTGAGGAAGGGGAGTGGCCGGGCTCGGTTCTTGGTTGCTTTTTGGTGGCCGCTCGTTGTAATCCATATAGTTGACCCACATAGTATTCCTCGAAGGTGGGAAGTATGCCGGCAAGGTGCCGGGGCCACGCCCCAGAATTCCAGCCGTCAACATGACGGTTGGACCATTGTTGGTGAATATCGAGGAGATGTGTCCAGGTCCTGTAGTAGCAGTGGTCGAGGTCTTCGACAGAGAGGCAGTCGGCATACCGGGTTTGGATGAGGCCGCCGTGGGGGTAGTTGACAGGCTGGAAAAAAGGTTAACCCCGGGCTGGGGGAGATCCGGCAAGATGACTTAACCGGCGCCGGCACCGGAGGTGGGGAGGAGGCCGCCGTCCGACCACAGAGGGGCTGAGAGGGAGGCCATCGTTGACAGCGTAGATGAGTGCAGGTCATGTTGGTTGAGGGCCTGAAGAGGTGTGGGCCTGGTCTGGTTAGAGGGTGAGGTGATATGGTTTGGTGGGCCTGATGTGAAGTCAAGATATGAGGGTTTAGTAGTAGAGATTGGGCCTGAGGGAATTGAATTTAGGGGGGAGGAGAAATAGTGGCTGGTGGCCCATAAGGTGAAAGGTCAGAAACGGGCCTAGGAGCCGGCCCAACAAGTTGGCCCATTGAGTGAGCTGAGGGGAAATTATCAGTTTTCTTAAGGATAAGGTTTGGTTTAGCAGACGCGCTCAAATGGTCAGGTGGCATGGGAGGCTTCTCGCCGGGGTAGACGGCGGCGACGAAACCGAGGGTGACGAGGCGCCAGGTGGCCGCGAGGCGACAGGGCGGGACCTACCATGACACGACGGACCTCCTGCTCGAGGATCGGTCGAGGACGCCGTCGATTGGGTAAGAGATCTGAGGGCCTTCTTTATGGAATTTGTCCAAGAACTGAGCTTACCACGGGATTCACCGGCGGGAGCCAAGAAAGAGCCGGCCGGGAAAGTCAAGAGATGCGGGAGCTGGGGGTTCGAAAAATCAGCCATGGAGGTTAGGGTTTGGGAGGAAAAGGGGGGAGAAAGGCGGGCCGGGCCCCCCGGATCGGGCGGCTCGCCGCCGGCGACAGACGCCGGCGAGGTTATCTGGGCGGGAAGTGACGGGGAGGGGTAGATGTGGGGGAGGAGGGGAGTGGGGAATGAAGAGAGAGAGAGAGAGAAAGATGTTAGAGAGAGGAGGAGAGCATTATTTGATGCTATTTATATTTGTGAATGATGCTATTTTTTACACAAATATAAATTGTGTTGTTATTTTTAATCAGATAAATCTATGTTAAAAATAGCACTAAAAAACAATTAATCATAGCACTACATACAACTAAAAATAGCGGTTCTCACGGTTCTCACGCTAAGACTTGGTTCTCATTTGAACCACATCCTGTATATATATACTAGTGTATGGCCCGTGCGATGCACGAGAAAATGATACTACGATTGTGTTATAAATTAAATATACAAATAAATTAATCAAGATTTACCCATCGTTTTTAAATTAAACCGTGTTGGATACAGCCCGACCGAATGGACCGACAACCGATTTATAATCAGCCTAGTTTTTTTTTTTTTTCCAACGACATAAAATGCTCATATAATAAACCATAAAATGGAACAGTACAATAGGGATAACCCTGCCGAATAGTACAGAGAGGCAAAGCACAACTGCCGCCTAATCGAAACAAAGAAAAACAGATACACCTTCAGCCAAAACAAACCCAAACAACAAGAACAATCAGTAACAACAGCAAACAGAAAATTCTACCACCTAGACCTTGGATAAAACCACTGCAAGAGCCTAGCTCATCCTCAGTCCCATCCTCTCACTGTCTGGTACAAGAAATGGCATAATCCATCCAATTTCTCCAAGCTGCTTTAACTATCCACACCTCAGGTTGCTGGGCTCCTTCAAAAATCCAGATATTTCTTGCTTTCCAGAGCCACCATAATATGTAGGTGGATAGTTGGATTCTCTCTTCAGATATTGCTGTAAAATTCATAGAACTAATCCACCACCACCACTGCTTGAAACTCAGCTGCTCTTGGGTGATTCTGTTCCATTGCACAGGGGCAAGCTTCCAAACCTTAACAGCTCTGTCACAATGAAATAAAACATGCTCCAGGGTCTCTGGAAATTCCCCACACACTTTACACAACTCATCCAAAAGAAGACCCCTCTTGATAAGGTTGACATTTACAGGCAAGATGTTAGAGAAACACTGCCATATAAAGTGTTTAACCTTACTAAACACCTTGAGATTCCAACACCTCAATCTGGCTTTTTTGTTATCCACAGCTAGAAAACTGCTCTCAGCCACCTCAGTACTGCCCATATTTTCCACAGCTAGAATATTATAAGTTCTTTTGACAGAGAACTTCCCTTTATCAAGAAAAGGGCACACCCACTGGTCAGCAATGCTAGGATTTAGAGATTTGATTAGCAAAATCATTTTAGCATCAGCTTCTGAAAACAAAGCATAGACAAGATTTTCATCCCATCTACAACCACCCGCAATCAACAGATCCTTCACACAGAAATCATGCCCATCAATCTGGATTTTAAGAGAAGGTTTCCCACCCACAACCCCTGGGACCCAGTTATAATCATCCAGTTTAGTACCAGCCCCATTTCTGATTATAATGCTAAGTTGATTTTTCAGCAAAGGTAGCACAGATGTCCAAGACCTCCACAGCCAAGAAACACCACTAGAAGCTTTCCAGTCAAAAATACTAGTGTCAGAAAAGTACCTGCCTTTAAGAACTTGACACACCAAAGACTCAGGATGTTCCAGTAACCTCCAAAACTGCTTCAAAATGAGGGCTCTGTTCATAGTTCTGATATCTAGAAAGCCCAAGCCCCCTTCATGCTTTGACCTAGCCAGTTTATCCCAGGATTTCCAATGAAGCCCTTGATTTTGGCCACTCCCTTTCCTCCACCAGAAGTTTGCCATCAACCTGCATATATTCTTACAAATGCCAACAGGAATCATGAAGCACGACATAACAAAAATTGGTAAAGCCTGCAACACTGATTTGATTAAGATCTCTTTGCCTGCAGTTGATAAAAAATTGTTCTTCCAGTTCTCTATCCTGCTTCTCACTGAATCCTCAACAAACTGAAAGGTATCCAATTTAGAAGCCCCAATCCCCAGCGGTAAGCCCAAGTATCTAGAGGATCTTTTAATCACCACACCCCTCAGAATAGATTCCAGCTTATTAACCAACAGAGGGCCACTGTTTTTACTTAAGAACATTGAGGATTTATAAAGATTCACTTTCTGCCCTGTAAAACATTTGTATTTGTGCAGCAACTCCAACAACAAATTAGCATGACCTTCATCAGCCTTACAGAAAATAAGAGCATCATCCACAAAAAGTAAGTGGGACAACATAGGCCCTTGTTTAGCAATTCTGATACCCCTGAATTGCCCACTCTTGCACATGAAATTCAAATAAGAAGATAGCACCTCAGACACCAAAATGAACAAGTAAGGTGAAATAGGGTCACCCTGCTTAAGACCCCTAGAACCTGTAACAAAACCACAGTTTTCCCCATTCAGGTTAAAAGAAAAAGTAGGGTGGGAGATGCATCCATAAATCCACTTAATAAAAACCCCATGGAATCCCATTTTCCCCATGACTTTCCTTATACAATCCCATTCCACCCTATCATAGGCTTTCTCCATGTCCAATTTAACAGCCATAAAATAGTGAGGGCCAGATCTATGTCTATGTAGGTAGTGAAAGACCTCATGAGCAATAACAACATTGTCTAATAAATTCCTACCAGGAACAAAAGCTGTCTGAGTGCTGCTAATGCAAGAATCAAGGCACACTTTCAGCCTTTCAGCAAGTATCTTAGCCACAATTTTGTAAAGAACCCCACACAAAGAAATTGGTCTATAATTGCAAAGAGATTCAGGATACAAGCACTTTGGGATCAAAGTAATAACTGTGTGCTTCCAATTTTTCAACATTTTCCCATTCAAGAAAAAGCTTTTGACAGCCTTACATACATCATCTTTAATGATATGCCAGAAGTGTTTAAAGAAAAAGACAGACATACCATCCTCCCCTGGCGCCTTATCAGATTCCATTTGGAACAGAGCCTCCTTAACCTCCATCTCTTCCACCGGTGAAATAAGATTATTGTTCAACTCATCAGAAATGGAGCAAGGAATATGCTGCAATATCTCATCTTCCTCATAGCTTCCATCAGAAGAAAAAAGATTAGAATAGAAACCTTCCAGATGATGCACAATGGATTCTTTAGAAGCACAGATCACTCCCTCTCCCGTCACCAGCCTCTGAATTGAATTCGATTTCCTTCTTTGGGCCACAACCGCATGAAAAAATCTAGAATTTCTGTCCCCCTCCTTAAGCCACATAGCCCTAGACTTCATTCTCCAGTAAGCCTCTTCTTCCTGATGGGCCCTATCCAATTCAGCTTTCAGATCATACCATTCCTCCCAATTTCTTTCATGACCACCCTTTATCAGCTCTTCCAACTTCCCAGTAAGAGTTATAACAGCCTTCTCACTGTTTCTGTGAATAGGTTTGTGCCAGGCTAACAAAGCCATTCTAGTGCTTTTTATCTTCTGGTGAACTTGGTACATCGCAGATCCTTCAACCGCAATTTGCCACCCAGGTGTAACAGCATCTTGAACCCCATCAACCTTTGCCCATAATTTATCAAAAGCAAATCTCTTCTTGTACCTCCCAACCTCCATATCAGTGTCCATCATCAACACATTGTGGTCTGACGCTGTCCTGTAGAAATTTGCCACCTCCATCTTTGGGTAGGCCACCATCCAGTCATAAGAAGTGAAAATTTTCTCAAGCCGTTCCTCAACATATCCATCTCCCTCTCTGTTATTCCCCCAAGTGAAAAAAGCTCCTTTCTGCTCCACCTCATGCATCCCCATATTATGAATGAAGGACCTGAACCCTCTGAAACTAGATTCTTGTCTTCTCACTCCCCCTCTCTTTTCCTCATTATTGACAATATCGTTCCAATCCCCCGCAATGGTCCAACACCTTCCCCAGTTAAGTCTGGCCATCTCCAAAAACTCCCATTGAGATGCCCTCTCCCTCCTGTCAGTGCTAAGATAGACAAAAATAAGCCAATTCCACTCCCTCATCCCAGGACCCTTAGCCTCCATCTGGACACAAAAATCATTAGCAACAATCTGCTTTATCTCTGTATTCACATCCCACAAAACAAGCAACCCACCTCTAGACCCCCTAGGTGGCCCCAGATGCCACCTACTGCCAAAACCCAATTTCCTGCACACAGTGACTGTAAAAGCTTTTGATTTCTTGGTCTCCGAAAGAAAAATAACATTTGGGTGGTGGACTCGAATAGAGTCCTTGATCTGGGAAATTGAAGAGGGCCCACCCAGTCCTCTACAATTCCACACCTGAGCCTTCATTGATCACCTCGGGGCCATTTGAGGCTGGCCTTCTCTACCTTCGCATCTTCACAATAAATTTTTAGTCTTTTATCAGAAACACCATCACCTTGAAGCTCCCCATCAACATCATCAAACAGCACCAATTCTCTGCTTCTTTTACTGTTCTTAGCCTCACCATCACCCCTGCCTACCACTGCCTTTAGAGCTAGATCAATCCCACTCTCATCCATCCTCAACAGTCTGCCCACACTACTCTTTTTCCTCTTCCACAATGCCCCTTTTCTTAACCCCCCCGTCTCTTGCACACAATCTCCACTATTCTGAATCAAAGTAGGCAAAACACTCAGCCCTATTTCAGAATTCTCCACCTGAGTTTGCTGACCTTCCACTACCATCTCCATTAAGTTAGGACAAGATTCCACTGCAGTGGGTACAATAAGAAGAGCCTGAGAATTCTGCGGTTCAAGCTCAGCACCCTGGTCCTTCTCTTCACTTTCCATTGCAGCCTCAGGCTGCTGATTAGAGAATTTCATAGGAGTGACACTGGCTGAGACTATAGAATCATGATTAGAATGCTGCTGAGGAGGGGCACTCTTTGCTTCAGAGCTACTTGCAAAATAATTTCTCCCACCGTGATAAGTCTCCTTAACTTTGAGCCATTCTCCGAATTGCCCTTCCCTTGGTTTCCCCTTATCAATATCCTCATCCCTCTGCAGACACCCCCTGTCTAGGTGCCCTATCCTCCCACAGTAGTAGCATAAGTTCACAAGTCTCTCATACCTGAAAGCAACCATAGTGCTCTGTTCACCCAGCTTAACAACAGTACATCTGGGAATAGGCTCTTTCAGGTTTAATGCAACAAGAATTTTAAAGAAACTCCCAGCTTCACCTCCCACTTTACAAACCACCACATTTTTCACCTTATTGAAGATTTGCCCTATCCTCATTCCCGCTTCTGTGCACATCCAGTTGAGTGGGACATTCATCACCTGGACCCAGATATTGATCTCCTCAAAACATGGGTGATTGCTATGCAACCCATCATTCCACTCGGTTAGTATCAGGTACTGATTCTCAAAGAGCCAGTTATTACCCGCAGCTACCTTTGCTTTATCCTCCATAGACGAGAATATAAACTGAAAATAATTTGAACTGATCTCCTTCACCTCCATCGATTTTTGGAGTCTCCAAATACTGCTCATAGTCCGCTTCACACCCATGATACTAGCTGGTATATCCCCCACCACCTTCCCGAACAAACTCCACTCGCATTCCTCCTTACTAGCTTTCACATCATCAGTGCGCAGCTCAAAGCCACCCGCCTCCTTTTCTGACAGCGAACAAGCCAGGAGCTTATTCAAGACATCACCAACCATCTCACCCCGAATAATCACTCTAGTTCACTTAAGTAAAATATTTGCTATTGAACCCATCAACGCCAGTCGGTTGAACTAGTAGGATCGATATGATTTTCTAAATAAATTTGGCTATATTTAAAATTATTTTAAATAAAATTACATATATAAATTAAATAGAGATTTATAAATTTTTTATCAATTAATTTAAACATTTGAATTTTTAAACTGTTTAGATATTTAAGTAACACATTTTATTCAAATTTATTACAAAAAATACTATATATATATATATATATATATATATATATGTGCATATTAAAGTGTATTTTTAAGAAAAATAAATTAAATTGTATGATTTTTATAAATTAAACTGTATGATTAAATTGTATGATTATATTAAGTGTATTTATAAATTAAATTGTATGATTTTTAAAGAAAAATATAAGAAAGATACTAAAACTACTATTTATGGGTTGCATTAAATGTTGACCTTTTTTTTTTGCTATTAATTTTAGTAAATAGGATGACTCATGTGTGTGAGAGAGGGAGAGAGAGAGAGAGAGAGAGAGAGAGAGAGAGAGAGAGAGAGAGTGTGTGTGTGTGTGCGCATCAAAGCTAGAGGGGTGAGGAACTTGGAAAGAAATAAAACAATTCAAACACAGTAAGTCACAGTTGCAAAAAACGAATTCACTTCTTTTTTTCCCACCATAATATTTCCTTTCTTCCTACCATAATATTTGTCTTCCACTATATTCATAAACTAACTTCATACATTCAATACAACAGTTCATTAATCGAGAAGAGTTCAAACAGAAAAATTAGGCTTGTTTAATAACTGAACGAACACGAGCTTGTTTTTAGTAAAACATTTCCCCAACACTCTTTAAGTTCTGAGTGAAAGCTTGTCACATCATAAATTGGTAAGATAATATAAACCTCCAAAATTTCGGGATTAAAAAATTAGGTAAGAAAACTCCCCCGGACCACCTACAAGGGACCTACTCTAATACCACTTGTTAGAATTTTAGGTACTCAAATATTCATATTTTTACACAAAATGCAATTCTCAATACGCAACGAAAATAAATAAACACGAAAGATTAAAAATTTAGCTTACAAGAGAATATCACTTTTATACTACGGCAACATGCCAAAGATTCCTTAGATCAATGAATAACTAAGTTTTTCATACAACCCATAATATCTAGAAAAAAAAAACACAAAATGTATAAAAAAAATCTATATCGAATGGGTATCAATACAGACTGTCAAAATAATCAATCAAAAATACTTTAAAGAGAATGATGAATGAATAACAATAAATATCACAAGTTCAAGAGAATAATGAAAATTTCGATCTCAAAATCTCGTCCTTATCTTCCAAAAACTCTTCACATACGCTTAAGGTGAGGTTTGCTAGTTCATATTGCTCAAAAAGGATCCCAAGTTGGTGCTTTACCTTGAAGAAATTGCCCTTGTTATGAACCATACAATTATTGTCTGTATAAGTGAATGACTATTTTGCTCTTGATGTATTTGTATAATTACAAGTTCTGTCATCATAAGTTTCTTATAAATAGAAGATTCAATTATAATGAAAATTGTACCAAGAGAATACATTCTCTCTATTCTTTCTCTTTCTCTCTAGTTTTAAAATGCCTTATCAGCAGAGTCTCTACCCTCTAGAGCTTGATTTCTAATATGACGAGAGTAAGCTCTACGGCTACATCTTGAGATGATCCTCTGTATCAGAAATCTATGTGTTACAAATCGTTAATTTATTGAAATAACTTTGAAATCTAAATTTTTCCTTTATCTTGGCCATATTGAATATTTTTTTAGCCGAAAAAAAAAGGAGAAGAATGAATGGAAAAGAAAAATGAAAGATAACCCACAATTTGACCATTTTTCAAAACCAACATATGAATTCAGACCACTTTCAAAGTCTTAGTTATGATAAAAGGAAAAAAAAAAAGCAATGAATTCACCATTCCAAAGATTACTAGCAGGGGCGGATCTAGTTAAAAAAAATGGGAAGGGCCAAAGCAATTAATTGGAATCGAATTGTGTTTATTCAACTTGTGAAAGTTTGATCTCGTATTATTCATATATTTAGATGAGCCAAGCTAGAACGATTATTCAAACTTTATTATTAAACAAAACGAGTAGATTGAAGCTTAAACATGAGTTATTCAACTTGACTCGGCACGGATTACATTTCGAGGAAATTTATATAATTTATAGTATCTCTCTCACGCACAGACATATATATAGGCGCCAAATTACATTTTAAAATAGATAAAATAGTTAATAAGTTGCAATAAAAAAATACATAACTTCTTAATTCCAGTATTTTAAATTCTCAACATTCTTTACACTCACGAAACTCATTGATGATTGACTCAATATTATTACAAACGCTATAATTGGTACGCTTTCTAATTGTTAGACAAATATATTTTGTTACTAAAAATGCATTGTGATACTATGAAAATGTCATACTTTTATTTGTACTACATTGTAAAATATGATAATTAAGTATGAAAGTATAAATATATTTGTTGGAAAAGTGTAGTTGTCTAATTGTTAAGTGTTGGGAAAAACACATTGAATTTTTCATGAAGTCAGATCTATAAAAGTGAAATAAAAAAAAAAAATTGGACACACCAAATTGATAACAGAGTTCGACCAATAATGCCTATGTCTCCGAACTACTGCAGATAGTTTATTATGAGAAAAAAAATACACTCGTATTGACAAAACACTCTAAAACTCACTCACAATACACCCAAAATCTAAACTCTTTTTCTTGTTCATTCTCTTTCTTTTTCTTAAACTTTGGTGTGTATTTTGCTTCAGCGTAATCCTCCTCTATTTATAGAGAAGAAATGCATTTCTTTTTCAACATTTGTGCACTTATATTTTTTTAACAAAATGCTGCTACAATCTTTTAAAGAATTGTGGCTACCTCCCTTTCTGTTTTTGTCAACATTGGTGGTTGGTCTAACAATCTCGCACTTGGAGACTGATTTCAATCTGTCCTCACGCCTCAATAACTGCAGTAGTCTTCTCTGATCTATTATTCTAGCAAGCCATCTAAAGTTGAGCACAACTTCAGTTTGTCAATGGTCACCACCTTCATTAGCATATCTGCTTAGTTCTTGCTTCCTACAATCTTCTTCAAAGTCAACACTTCGTCCTCAAGAAGAGATCTGATGAAATGATATCGTATGTCAATGTGCTTAGTTCTAGAGTGAAACACTGAGTTCTTTGCCAGATGTATTGCACTCTGATTTCACTATGCAAGACACTCCCTTTATAAGTGAAACCCAACTCTGCTAACAATTCTTGAAGCCATCAATTCTTTACTGGCTTCTATCACTGCTACATACTCTGCCTCTACAGTGGATAACACAACAATTTTTTGTATTCGCGACATCCAACTAACAGTTGCAGCTCCGACAGTGAAAACATAACCGGTGGTGCTTCTTCGGTGATAAACTTCACCTCCAAAGTCTGCATCTACGTAGCCCCGTAACTTTAGTTCTCATTTTCTAAAATACAAACATTTTTTTTTTTTGTTTTGCCCGTAGATATCTCAAAATCCATTTGACTGCTTCCCAATGGGCTTTTCCTGGTTTTGACATAAACCTGCTAACAACTCCCACTGCATCGTACAAATCATCTCGTACATCAAACTTCCAATGGCTAAAGCATAAGGAATTTTAACCATAAACTCTTTTTCTTCTTTTGTTTGAGGAGACTGATTCTTGTATAGACGAAAATGGCTAGCCAAAGGTGTACTGACTAGCTTAGTCTTATCCATGTTAAATCTCTGAAAATGGTTGATGTATTCTGCCTGAGATAACTGTAAAATTCCCTTTTGCTTATCTCTCGTGATTTGCATTCCAAGAATCTTCTTTGATGGGCCTAAGTTCTTCATGTCAAATTCTTTTGACAACTGTATTTTAATTTTCTGATGTCTTTCATATCTGATCCCGCTACTAACATGTCATCAACATAAAGTAGCAAGATGATATAGTTGGACTCATGCTTCTTAAAGAAACAACAGTGATCAACATTGCACTTCTGGAAACTTTCCTTGTACATGAAGCTTTCAAAATTCCAATACCACTGTCTCGGAGCTTGTTTCAGGCCGTAAAAGATCTTCTTTAATTTGCACACTATATCCTTCTTTCATTCTGAAAAACCTTTAGGCCGGTGTATATAGATCTTCTCATCTAGGTCCCCGTGAAGAAATGTAGTCTTCACATTTAATTGCTCTAGGTAGAGCTCTTCACTAGCCACAATACTTAACATAGCCATGATAGTATTGAGCTTTACAACTGGAGCAAAGATTTTAGTATAGTCAACTCCTTCTTTCTGCTGAAATCCTTTGACAACCAGTCGGTGTATCTCCTGGAACCATCATGGTCTTCCGTCACCCGATACACCCATTTGTTGTGAAGTGTTGTCATTCCTGCAGGTAACTTAACTAGTTCACATGTCTGATTTGACATCAAAGACTTCATCTCGCCCTTCATGGCTTGCTCCCAATTGCTAGCATTTATGGTTTGACAAGCCTCCATATAATCTTCAGGTTCTCCTCCATCAGTCAAAAACATGTAGTACATATTACTCATGTTAGGAACATGAGGCAGAGAGGACCTTCTCAATACAGGAATTGGAGTAGAATGTTATGATTTCTCATTGTTTTCTTCATTTGATTCCTCTAACTGAGGATTCTTTATTATAGTAATGTCTGGGATATCTTCCACCTCTGCATAAACTGGCCCACTCGCTTCTGAGTTGTTGGCACTTGTGTTATGTCGGTCCTTGTACATCACTCTTTCATTAAAGATGACATCTTTGATGTGGATCATCTTTTGTTTTCATCACCCCATAATTGGTAACCAAACTCATCTTCAACATAACCAATGAAAGTACATTTCTTTGATTTTGGATCAAGTTTGTTTCTACCATGATCTCTGATGTGCATATATTCTACAAACCCGCAAACTCTAAGATGTGAGAG